TGGAGTAGTAGGAATATATGTAATCGCTTCCTCATCAGCTGCTGAGCTCAGAAGAGTTTATATATGAATTTGGGTAGAAGTGTAATACAGAAACCAATAAGAATTCCCTCTCAGAATTTTAATATTATCACAAACTGTTACTACTACTTCCCATCAGTGTTGGAGTAGTAGGAATATATGTAATCGCTTTCCTCATCAGCTGCTGAGCTCAGAAGAGTTTATATATGAATTTGGGTAGAAGTGTAATACAGAAACCAATAAGAATTTCCTCTCAGAATTTTAATATTATCACAAACTGTTACTACTACTTCCCATCAGTGTTGGAGTAGTAGGAATATATGTAATCGCTTTTCCCACCATCCACGGGGGAATATTCGTTCAACAATTCTACTTATTAAAATCATCTGAGTTTTCTAAACCAACTGCATGAGTTCTCCGAAACCTAAGAAGATACGACCGACTTGCCCTCGGTAGGTTGGAGTCGAACTTGTGCATTGGAGTTTCACAACTACCCGTTTTACGACGTGAAGGGGCGTCGTAAAAAAACGCGATATTCGCGGTGATATGCAATAGTCGTGAAATATGTCACATCACTAGGAACTCAATTTTATATATATTTTCTGATCACATGTGAAAGAAACTTTCAACAGTGCACGATCAGGGGTGAAATTATATGAAAAGTGAGAAAAAAAAATTTTACGAAGAAAAATATTTCCAATTTTATTTTTTATCATAAAAAATATACGAAGAAAAATGTTCAATTCGAAATGGAAAAATAAAAAAAAATCAAAAAGGAAAATATTTTTCCTCACGGGATTAGAAGGTGAAAGTCAACATTCCGCTTTTGCGAATTTTAATTTTCACTTAATTTTCCAACAACATCTTCTCACCACAACTCACTTGATTTTTGTTATATAGTAGTTATACCCACTCACGGTAAAGTTTCAAAATTTCGTGAGTTGTTGAAACTTCCAAAAAAGTCATTTGTCACTTTCTAACTACACTAGCTTTCACGCCAACTTACATCACGTTTCCCGTCACGTAAGTTACTTGACGAGAAACTAAAATTTTCGAAATTTGCCTAAGAAAAATGCACGCTCCTGATACTCAATCTATATGTGTGCATGGTAAACCGGTAGTGAATATATAGTATTGTTGGAGTTTCTTCACCCTAGTGATATGGAAAATATATTTCACGACTACTGCATATCACCGCGAATATCGCGTTTTTCACCACTTCACGTAAAACGGGTGGAATTTCTTTTGTTCTTTACTACAGTTAGCTGATTTTTTTCGTATCGTTTTTCCATGCTGTTGTTAAACTAGTATACTTTTCTACGTATAATAACATTTCATCTTCTTCGGGAGAGACAACACACATATGTGTTTTTTCTTCAAATTTTGTTCCCGTTTTCGAAAAAAACTGGGAATTTTTTCCTCTTGTTTTTTTTTTCTCTCCCATTTAGATCACCAGAGTTTCAACGGTTAATCAGCAATCGGCAGAAATCACGTGAAAGTGTTAATATGGAAAAACGATCGAAAAAAAATGAAGTAACGTGTAAACGTATTCTGATTTTCGCACAATTCGCGTGGCCTCATGGATCGGCAATACGCACTACATGTGTGTTGGTGAAAATATGAAACTTTTTGGAGGAATTTTCTATTGGTTTCTGTGCACTTCTAGCCGAAGTCACTCGCCTGAGCTCAGCTGAGGAAAGCGAAAATATATTCCTCTAACATTGACGTGGAAAAAACACCGAAATTCACAGATGAAATACCGTAAAATATAAATGAAAAAATGTTAAATGATGAAAATTAAATATTCAAGTACTTCATTCTCGTGTTCGAAGGTTCTCAAAATTTTGGTATATAAATTCAAGTAGAAATGTACAGAAATAAACAAGAATTTCTAGAAATTCTTTTCCGTAATTTTCATATTGTTTCCCACATGATTATTACAAAATTATCGATTCGCAGAGGAGTATTCTCGCCCTAGTGATATGAAAAACACTAGTGAAAAATATATTTCACGACTACTGCATATCACCGCGAATATCGCGTTTTTCACCGAGTTTTACGACGCCACATCACGTAAAACGGGTAGTCGTGAAACTACAGTGTATATATTTCAGAATCACGATGATGTTACTCATGAACAGTTTCCTCCACAACAAGATGAATCCGCAGGTGGGAAAACTTTGGGAAATTTTCGATGGAAAATCATGGAAAAGGAAAAGAGTAAATCTTGGCTGGTATGTGTGATTTTTTTTCGGTGAAAAATTACCTTAAAGATGTTCTGGAGAATTTCGACATAATTGAAAGAGAGTAAATTCATGAGTAATTGGAAAAAAATCCGAAATTGAATTTTTCGGGGGGAAAATT